ATGAATAATAAGGGAAGTGTGATATATTAAATATCACGATTTATTTGTAACTGGTTAAGCAAATCGCCGAGACGTGAAAAGTTTCAGTTAAGAATTCTTAAAAATTCGTTAAATTAGTCGGCGAGCAGGAGGTAGAAAGTGAGGATTTGCTGGTAAGTTTTAATGTTGAGTCTGTATACATCAACATTCCTGTAGACAATGCCTTTTTAGCTCTGCTATCCACACTAGACCAACACGTGGAGATTTTAGGGAGTACGAAATTAAGCAGTGTCAATAACGATACTGGCCAACCTGGCCAGTACTGGTGAACTGTACGAACAAACGCAAGGTTTAATTATGCGATTGTGTTTGTCACTAATTTTACCAAATTATCACATGACTCCATTTGCGGAACACTTAATTCAGGAGGCACTTTCAGTCCGTAAATTATTAGTTCGCTGTATGGACGACTACCTTGCAGTTTGATATAATTACAAAAAAAAGCCTAGAGAATTTTCTTGTTTTAATGAACAGGATAGATGAGAAGACGAAATTGACCATCCAGTTAGAAAAGAAGGTGGTTTACCTTTTCCTGATGGCCTAGTTAGCAAAGAAGGGACCAGGTTAAGTAGATATCTGTATAGGAAACCCCCAAATAGAGAGCTCCTTTTGGATTTATTTTACAACCATACTTATGGGGTTAAAGTAGTAGTTATGAAGTCTATGATAATAATGAGCCTGCGTCTGTCAGTTGTTAAGCATCGGGATCAGTAATTAAGAAGACTAAGGAGAATTCTGACTGGGAATAATTATCCACGAATACTGCTTAACAATTATTTTAGAATATTATCAAATAGGATGGAGAGGAATACATATTCGGGGCTAGATAACAGGTTGAACGACTCTAGCAGATCTTTGCGCTGCCATTGTGTAATCTGCGGAAAAAGCTAGGCGAATTGCTGAGGAGCTGGAATATCAGGGCTATTTATAATGAGAAAATAACACTTTACTTGGTTTTGCCTCCTTTTCCAGAATACTCTGTCCCTTTCTCCAGATCAGGCTGTTACAAGATTTTATTTTCATGCGGTAGCGCCTATGTAGGAGAACTATGTAGTCCAACACTCTGAATAGAAGGAGTGAGAGTATGGAGTGAATTGGGATCTATTTGTGTCTGTTGGATAGGATAAGAGAAAGGGAAAGAGAGAGAGAGTAGGAAGTGGGGAAACCAGCATTACCACAGCGCAGAAGGAGGAGGCTTGATTGTGCTCAAATTTGGTTTTGTCTTTCACATCGCGCTCATTTCAAGAGCAATACATTCACACAACACATATGTAATGGAACACAATCACATGCGGTAACATTGTGGGATCAAAGGTCTACGTATTTCACAATCACTTCCGTTTCACTCTTCATACTCAAGCACATGGACCAAATTTAACTTAGAAAGGAAGATAGGTTTGAAGCCGATTATCTTTCTTGCCTTCCCGTTTTTGGTAGATTTTTGTAAAGCAATCACGTGTGGTAAAATTATGGACTCAAAGTTATACGCGTTTTGCGGCATAATGACGCTGTTCTGTCACAATTTATCCCGTTTCACGCTTCATCATCAGCCACTTGACTTAAATTTTCAGCAAAAATCTATGTAAAACATAGGACATCCAACAAAAGCATGCGATGCCTAAGTGAACATAATTTGATTATAGGAAGTCGAAAGATTTGAAGCTGATCACATTTCGTGTCTCCGTGTTTTCGTGAACTAGTCTAAAGCATGTTTTCCTGCTCTGACACTGTTCGTCACTTGACGGATGAAAGTTCAACCAGGTTTCTTCAGGTCCGTCGAGGACCTATTGCACAAATCTAAAATCACACCTACAAGGCAATTCTCCTACAGTTTCCGGTTGGACCAACTTACGAATCCCTTCCATTCGCCTTTTCAAACGAAACGAAAGGAGCTCCAACAACAAAGCAAGCATATCTTCTCTTTTTCTACATGTTTAGGTAGCAAGCATGTTTATTTTTGTTGGTGTATTTTAAGACATTCCCTGTTTTTTTCATGGTTTACAAGGCTCTTATCTCTTCACAATTATATTGATCCTTAAACCATTACTTGTCTATCTTATTTCCATATCAAACTCAACAGCAGCATGCAATCATAAAGCGATTCATGTGTATTTGGATGACTTTATTTGATTGACATTATCTCGATAGTGCCTACATAATCATTTTAAAGATCATCTTTAGGCCAGTGATCATTTACCTGATCATAAGAATGAGCTGTAGATCGTGAATAACTTGTTGATATTGCAAATAAGTCACCTACACATGGATAGCATCTGTATTACACCGAATGCATACCTGCATATACATATGTACACACATTTATGTATATTTAGGCTTACATTATTAGTCGAAAGCCTCTGCAATCGGGCATTTTTATTAGCTACATTAATATACACTACATTTGTTGTAATTTTCACATAGGATGCATATCGTTGGGAAATTTTCAATTCATTTTCTAGTCGATGTAGAGGGCCAAAAAATATGTTCACTTCTTGGTAATTGAGTGTAATTGACTTTTAATAAATTTATTGAGATATCATTTTTGTGGCTACTTCCATTTGGTGCAAAAGTGCCTGATTAAGAGGTTCACTGACTGAATCAACTTAAATTTCGCAGTAATATTAAACGACTATAGAACCATAGGGACTTTTCCTTGTCTTCTTGTGAGATCAACCCTTTGAATCTCGTCATTGAATAGCATAACAATGTCAACTTCATGTGAAAATTATAGTATGCCAGATTTCTTTCATCAATATTTTTAATTTTTACAACA